GAATTGGTAATTCTAAAAAATTGTATAAGCCCTTTATTATATTTGTACTCTACTAAAATTTATATATATATATAAGGCTATTCCAAACGAATCAAACAACAAAGAGAAAACATTTTCCACTTTAATCAGCTATGAGACGGCTAGCTTTTTAAAAAAAAGCTATTAGGGGACGACCATTTGATATTCTGGTGGGGGCCAGGAGGATTTGTTTTGGATCAGCTATTTATTTTTGTGAACTAGAAGAAGAGATTATCTATTTTCTGCACTGATGAAGCATGGTTTTTCATTTTCATTAAAACAAAGGACTGATTATTTATTTTCACAATTATATTTATAATATTTGAAAACACACAATTTAAAAAAAAAATTCTATTCCTAAATAGATAATAAGTGTATAGTCAAATCATTATGTATCATTTAATCAGAATTAATCATCATCCTGTGGAAGTGAATCTTCTGAATTCCAAACTGCAGGTATTGCATACGTACAAAGTATTAAAGTGGGGCTGAAACTAAGCCTCTTTTTAAAGTAATGTCAAACATATTTGCCGAGCGGAGCGAGGCAAAAAAATTTGGAGAAGGTTTTGGGAGCCGCTGAAGGCCACAAGAAGACAATATGTTGGTCTCAAAGCAAAATATATAGATTCAGTGTAAGACTTTTAGTTTTTAGGGACAACATCAAAAGACCAATATGTAAGATAAAGCAACAAGTGTAATTCAGAAACTTAAGTATGTGGCTGCTTTTTTTTTTGTTTTTTTTTTAGTGTTTTGGCTTGCAGAAAATCTTTTTTATATACCTGTCAGTTATGTGTTTTTGTTCTCAAATTAAGTTAAGAGGGGTTGATTATCATTGATATAACTATGTCAGGTAAGTTTTTATAACACATTTCTATTACAAACTTGATGTAGTTCCTAACTGAGATACAATTTGAAACTCATGTAGTTTGTAAAATCAGATAAAAAGTCCTTAAATAAAATTAAACTCAAGTTTAGAAAAATTACAAAATTACAAATGGAATGCAACACTAAGAGAATAAAGAAGGGTAATCAATGAACAAAAGACAAACGCTGGACCAGATAAAACACAAAACGGCAAACATTATAGACAAATAACACTGAAAACTAAAATTAAATGTGAAACATGGATCACGAAAAACAGGGGCTGTATGCCAGAGGGTGAACAGAACTTGCTTCTTGCAAGGCATTCGAAGTAAAAACAATTTGATATGAAGACAAGCTTTTGTTTTTGAAATTTCCTACCTGAGGCATTTGGCTCAATTTAGTTACAGCCCTATGACTTATGAAAGTGAGGTAAATGTTCCTGAGTTAATATACCTCTAGTTAAATGAAACCCATTTTCAGACATTTCAAGTACATTAATATTTATACATTGCATTATAAAAGATTTGGAAAGTTTTTCCCGAAAAAAGTACGAAAAAAGACGAATTTTGTAGGAATCTGGGGCCATTTCATACTTTTGAATAGCATTTATAAAATGGCTTAAAAGACCTGCCGAGATATTTATTTTCAATACATTGTAGGTCAGGTTATTTATTTTCAAACTACCACAGAACAAACCATTCATTTTTGTTATTATCAAGGCTGAGTTATTTATTTTCAAAATCCTCCTGCCCCCCCCCCCCCCCCCCCCCCCAGAATATCAAATGGTTGTCCCCTTACTTGTTCTACCCTAAGAAATGCATATACACAAGTCTCGCGTTTCTATTGTCAGTGGTAGATAATCGTCCCAACTTCCGAAGCAAGATCGTCAGAACTCCGGACTTTATAAATGTTTGAAAATCCAAAACCCAATACAAACGATGTCGAGCTGATAAAACCAAAAAAGACCAAAAAGGTAAAATAACAAAAATAACTCCAAGGAAAATTCAAAACGGAAAGTCCCTTATCAAATGGCAAAATCAAAAGCTCAAACACATCAAACGAATTGAAAACAACTGTCATATTCCTGACTTGGTACAGACATTTCCTTGTGTAGAAAATGGTGGATTAAACCTGGTTTTATAGCTAGCAAAACCTCTCACTTGTATATGATTGTCATATAGCATTCCATTAATTATCCGTTAATTTCTGTGTCATTTGGTCTCTTGTGGAGAGTTGTCGCATTGGCAATCATACCACATCTTCTTTTTATATATAAAGAAAACACAATGGCATATAGACAAAAGCTTAAGTTCATAAGCAGCAATGAAAGACAAGAATACAAAAATGACCATGCAAAATATACAAAGACAAATAAAAAGAACATTATAACACGCGATTAAGATGACAAACAACGTCAGTACCTAGAATCTATACTTCAAGACCATAATGTATAATTTGTGAAGTTGATACGATATATATCAACAAGGTCTTGGTATCTTCCGATGAACTTTTTTTAGAAAAAGGATCTTTCACATAACCCTGGATCATCAACTTTCTGCTCAGATACTGGTGACATTTTATAAGGTCTGAGTAGCAGTTGCAAGCTCTTGAATACCGAATGAGATGGGAAGTATATCCCATATGCAGGTGAAGTTGGTATATTGCTGGTAAGGTTGGAGAAATATATAATTTCAAAAGTAAAATCGTCTCGTTTGTCACTGATTCTGGTACTGGTACTGAGATGACCACTGATGTCAAGTTCGAGGTATACGTCTAGAAATGAGGCGGAGGAAGCCGTGTCTGTTGTTTGAAGTATAGCCAAATCTGGACAAGGAATCAGAGCTTCACGAGGGAGATATATTCCTTTAACATATTACTATTACATGTGTAAAGTATAATATACTCTTCCTACAAATTGTATCAAATATTTGTCCATTAAGATTTATTTCAAGAACTACGACCAACAATGAAAATGACAGGGCCCATCACGAGTTTTGTTTGAGAATTTGAAAGTAATTGTATGGTTGAAAAATAAGTTTGCTTTTTCTTAAAGTTCAAACCGCCTTGGTGGTCTCGTGGTAGCTTGTACGCCTTGAGTGCGGGAGGTCTTGGGTTCGAACCCCGGACGTGTCCAATCAAAGACTTTAAAATTGGTATTATAAATCCGACTCAGCGTGCCGGTTTAGTACAAAGCAGGGTAAATATTCATATTACATGAACATGTTTTCGTCCTGAATATGCATATCAATTTGCCACTGGACGTTAAGCATCCATCCATCCATCATCTCAAAACTCAAATTGAATAAACCAACGTAACGAATGGAAACAACTGTCATATTCCTGACTGACTTTGTACAGGCAATTACAGTTATTCTATTAAAGTTAGGATCTGTAAATTGAGTCGTCCGGAATGAACAGACATTAAGAAAGCCACTGGCAAACAAGGGCACTATGTTATTTCATGTACCCTGGTATCTATAATGAGTTTATTTACAACCACTGGGTCGGTGCCACTGCTGGGAGAGTTCCCCCGGAGGGTATCATCAGCCCAGAAGTCAGCATTTCTGTGTTGACAAGGAATATCATTGATATGGTCATACTATTAATTATAAATTAACTGTACTGTTTACAAAACTTTTAATTTTTGAAATACTTAAGACTTTTCTACCTCAGGAATAGATTACCTTAGCTGTCTTTGGCAAAACTTTAAGGAATTTCGGGACCTCAATGCTCTTTAACTTCGTACTTTGTTTTGGCCTTTTTAACTTTTTTTTTATTCGAGTGTCACTGATCAGTCTTTTGGAGACGAAACACACGTCTGGCATACACAATTTCAATCCTGGTATCTATGATGAGTTTATTTACCGACATGACACACACGGACTGCTCATAGAGCTGTTGAAAGAGTTCCTAAATGTGCAGAGAGCGTATCACTCTCGCTACACGAGGCATCTAATTCCAAGGCCAATTCCAACCGGATGTGGTTGTGTTATAAACCGGTACATCATGCATTGCCGAAAAAAACAGCCAACTTTAGCATGGATTTTACTGGGGGACGGAGTAAATATTTGTGACCATATTCCTATACCACAGTCAACCATTTGCGTTAAGGGACTAGTAGTTTTGACGTTATATAAACTACAAATCTTTAATAATAATAGTATAATTTTTTCATTTAAGTTTGCTTTATTTTTCCGAGAGTTGTAGCAGGAAAAAATGGGTTTGATTTTCATTCAAATGACATCTAGTTCCAAATTTTCGATGCACCCCGTATTTTAAATCTTAAATAAAGAATTCTGGCCTTTTTATTAATAAAACATATCCAATATTATTTTACTTTTAGAAAATTTAAACAAAAACTTGAAAAATGAATTTAGAATTATGTCATCTTATTCAGAACACGTGTTGTATAAATATAGATTCTACAACTGCATCGAGTGTGATACGATATTTATCCACTCGAGACAGTTAAATTTTCAAATTTAAAACGCGAGTCTCGCCAAGCGTTTTAAATATTTAAAATTTAACTGTCGAGAGTGGATAAATATCGAATTACACGAGATTTGGTGGTGGAATCTGTTTCTCTAATGATTTTCAAACTATATGCAGGCCATCATATTCCATCTTTTTGAATGATCTGCAAAAAGATGTGTTCTTTCTATATTTGACGTCATCAGGCATGGTCGCCTTTTTTCATGCCGTCACAATAGGAAATTCAGAGGAAAGCAAGAAAATTCGACGTCATAATCAGATTTTAACCAATGAAGAACTGAGATCGAACGAACCACACGTTGATTAAATTTTTTTTATACAATGGTTGCAGAAAGGGATAAATTGACGAAGAATTAGAGAAAGTTTGTTACGACCTTGAATTGTCCCCAAATACTTTATTATATCTCCGCTTTCTAAAACGGTCGGTATATATAGTTATGGGAGAGATCATCCTTCTGTCCAACTTTTGTATCCAAAAATGCTCCAGAACCGCTTGACAGAATTTTGTGAAACTTTCACCGACTCTTACTCGCATGATTCTACATCATTTCTTCATCTAAATGTGTTTTTTTTCCATGTTTCCCCTTAGCAAATCAAGGACTTTGCAAGGGGCGGAGTGGGTATTATTTTGTTAGCTTTGCTTGCAGTACCTCTTGTTTTCCTTTCTTTCAACTTTTTTACCAGATGATGCTGACAAGGAAGCAGTCCAGTTAGCTTTAGAATATGTTAGTAGAATAGAACAAAGTCCCTGTACTGGTGGTACCGAGGAGACGCTAGACCTCATCTTTAACCATACAGTTTGGGAAGCCTTCGTCATTCCTGCAATTCTTACGTCAAACTTCCTAACATCAAATTTACTTGCAAATAATGGTTCACTCGATTCACTGACCGATGAAATGTTCTTCTCTTTAGTAAAAAGTAATGTAATTGGTCAAACAGCTGTATTCGGTTCTGGAATAGCAATAGAGCCAGGGATATATTCTAAATATTCTTCGTTTGTTCCATACGCTTTCCATAAGAATGGGACTGTCTTTGCCCATGATATAGCTTTATCATATACTTACCAAGACAACAACAAAACTGTGTGGTATTATCACTTGAAGAACAGGAACTGGGAAAACACAACAAGAACAGTATCAAAAACAAAATCCAGGTAGGTTTATTCATTAAATCAAATCATTCATTAAAGTGTACTTAAAATACATTTTTAGATTGATTGATTGTGGGTTGCTTATCGTCCAGTGACAAATATTTGATGCATATTCAGGACGAATACATTTTTAGAGTACGTGGCATATTACATGAATATTTTGATTCTTTACCAGGAAAGAGCAAAAGTAAAGCATCGTCAGACACGTAAATGTGTATGTTCCGGAATCATTAACAAAATATGATACGGAATAGCCTTATCAAGGTAAATATTACGATAGCAAAGGACATCCGATAATAGCATTATCCTCTTTACGCTTGAAAAAAAAAAAACCACTTTGTAACTGTAGATAACTTTAATTTATTTCCATCATATTTTCGTATGACTTTTGAGGAAATTCTGGAAACTATTGAACTGATTAAGAAAGTATTTGTTTAGCTCTCTATATATCTTTATACTGAGAGAGTGAACAAAAAAATGTTTGTGGTTGCGCTAAATTATTGATGAAACTTTTCTTTACATTTTCATGTGAAAAAAGAAACAAGCATAATTCTTAGAGAATTTATTATCTTATTTTGTATGAGACCTTAATGTTATATGTAAAGTATAAGTGCAAGCACTGGCTACCTGAAAGCTTCCAAATAAACCAAGAATAAATAAAATCTATGCATTACTAGTAAATTATTAAGTCAGGGATTTCGTTACCACAAGTTACTTAAAACCTTTACCAAATTCTTCCATAGATACAAAGATTTGGTCTGCAAGTTTTGCTATACCTGTAGAAAACTTATTTCAAACGGAATAGCACATCCTTAATTTTACGGTGATGTTGTAAACCGAGCCCGGAAATTGAAATACGATCCGGGTCAACTTATCAAGTCTTTAAATAAACTTATCATAAAAGGTTACCTATTCAACACTGTAATTAAATCTTTGAATATTGTTTTTATTGGTATAAATATTGATTTTGTTATCAGTAAATTAAAATCATACTAAATATTACATATATGTACTTTCACGGTACTACAATCTGTTGATACCTATAGTTTGGCATTGCACAAGGACATGTTTTTTTTTCTGACTGTTAATGACGTCTTTACACTAAATTCATTGGATGTTGGATGTGTACTGATTGATATTTTAGTCTTAGATACATGATTTTTTTATTAGTTGTTATTGGCTTTGAACTAGCTGTCAGTAACTGCGAGTACTCTCAGATCTGTACTTAGTGTCTTTTTGTAGTGGGTATGTATAAGTACCCGTCCACGTTCACTCTGTGTTTTTGTTAGATGTATTTCTATTTGTATCCATCTGATGAGTTAAGCCTTTTTCAGCTGATTTTTATAGTTTGTTCTTATGTTGTACTGCTACACCACTGTCCCAGGTTAGGGGGAGGGTTGAGCGCTCACAAACATGTTTATCCCCGCCACATTCTTCATGTCAGGAGCCTGTAGTTCAGTGGTTGTCGTTGGTTCATGTCTGTCATATTTGTTTTTCGTAAATTGTTTTGTTATAAATTAGGCCGTTAGTTTTCTCAATTGAATTGTTTCATATTTTTCATGTTGGGGCCTTTTATAGCCGACCATACGTTATGGGTTTTCTCATTGTTGAAGGTCGTACAGTTGCCTATAATTGCTTACATCCACTTCATTTGAACTTTGGTGGATGGTTGTCTCATTGGCAATCAGACCACATCTCCTTATTTTTATCATAATAGATACAGGCTTAAAATGTTGTACGCCAGAGTAGTAGAAGCGCGTTTCAAAACCTTTGTGATGAAAAACGACTGAATCAAATAACCAGCAAGTACATTCTGTTAAAAAATAATAAAGAAGACATGTGTAATATTTAAAACTGCTTTTTATTAAATCCAGTTTGGATAGGCTTTGATCACTCCCCTGCAAAATACGGGTAACTGAGGCCAAACAGATAAAGGACAAGGAACCCGTTTTGGACTGTAATAGGAGATCGATACCTAAATCTTAAACAGGATGTTGTTCGTGGAATAACAAAAGAACAAACAGTTGTCCACAAAACACTACACGAAAATTAAGCAAAACGAACCAATTGAAACCAAAAACTTCCGAGTGAGTTGTTGTGATTTGGAAGGGTCATATACATTTTGTACTGCTATTCTGAATGTTGCACGAGTGAAATCCTTCGTGTTTCTCCTGTTATGAAATAACAATATGGTCTTAAAAATAACCGCAAAATCTCGTAGTCTGTTAATACACGTCATAACATTTTTTTGTAATGGAAGTAAACAGTACTTAATTTACCGCGTTCGACTGTTCATTTCTGGGGTTTCCTTCACCATGTGTTCATCATAAACAATTAGAGGAGAAAACAGGAAATGCCAGATATGTATAAATACAAAGCGAGCGTTAAAATGACAGAGTAAATAAATAAGCCAACACCTTTCTATGCAAACTTATAAAGTTTCCAGTTGGTTTATTTTACCTGGGTTTTATAAAAAAGAATCAATTCAATTACCATGATTACCACATGGGCAATTAAAGATACAATAATAATGATTAATTATTGTAATTCCGGAAATTTCATTAATGCACTGAATAAAGTGCGTCAATGGTATTATTAGCGTCAGTCTAGATGTGAAATAAGTTGTATAAAAAACAAATATAAAATCAAAAGTGATGAAAAGGTCAATCTTTTAAAATTAATTAAGAAAAACTCACCAAGCTACCCGACAGTCAAGTAATGTCTGCTTTGTTTCAGGTCAGGAAATACATCGTTACCAGAAAAAGAGACAGTTTTACTGACAGCCAAGATAGAAGACGGTCATTGGACCAAACCGTACTTTGACTGTGGAGGTGGGGATATTTGGATGGTAACATTTACATCGCCTTTATTTTCACTGGATTTAACTGGAAACCCTAAGTTTCAGTAAGTGTTAAAAGTAAGATAGAAAAAAAAGCGATATTAAACAATAGCTCGTCTGCGGTTGTCTTATCTAAAGGATGTACACCTCTGAAGGGCCAAAAATTTCTAGAATTAAACTTTTTTTTCTTAACCTGATTTGTGGGTTTATATGACTGTAAGGAAGTAGTTGATGAAGAAGAAAATCATTTGGTGGTGCACTTCTTTTTTTGCTACGGCCATTTGAAAGTATCCAATTTTTAATGATTTTCCTATATTGATAAATTTTTACCCATTTTTGGGCTAATATCATGAAAAATATCACAGTTTCACATTTATAAACTTCTTTTTCATACTTTCACTTAAAATGGAGTGGACCAATCTGAATAAATTTAACTTAAAAAACCTATATGTTGGTGTTGATATTAGAAAGTCTTATAAAATTTTGTTGCTTTTTCGTTTCAAATTGACCATGCTGTCAATTCTGTAAATTTGGGATTTTTCTCTTTTTTTTTCAACTTCATTGTTGTAAATGATTGAAAAAATACATATCAAAGAATTTTGAAAAGACTAAAATGATATGCGATGTACATATTTTTGGAAAAATCATTTTATGTAGCCTTCACCCATTTTCTCCACATTTTGGCTGATGACACTGACCGGATTGGTTATAAAATTTGAAAATTTTATTACTCCAAAACAACTAATAATTGTAAGTACATAATTTTTTCACAGAGTTTAGATATAATATTTTTTGAATTCATTAATATTTTCCACTTATATCACATGTTTCGGAAATCATGCCCGAACAAGGTTTCAACGAGACTGAAACATCAGAAGAAAACATCCTTAATGTTATTGGTTTTTTTTTTGGTACTGTTGATGACAGATATTTTGTTTTATCATATACTTATAGAAAATAATGGTATAATTGTATCCTTTGATAAAACTAATTTTTACATATATTTATTCATTAAAGTTGAAGAATTGTCTTAGCCGTATGATATGACTTTCGTTATCAACTGCTTCCGGTATATATCAACTGCTTCCGGTATATATCAACTGCTTCCGGTTTATATCAACTGCTTCCGGTTAATATCGCATGCCTTTCTTTAACGTTATCGCAAAGCATTTCGACGTCATTCTGCAAAATTCCGGAAAATAAACCTCAGTGGTACATTTTAGTGAAAAACACCTGTCGGCTCTCGGGCTGATATTATGACCAGGGCTGATAAGGAGTCTGATATGAAAAATGCCATGTTATAATCTATATTTATCGGTGTTCCCACTGTCTATATCACTCTGCTCAGATCTTCATAAAATTACATATCACGGCTTTGTGACGTCAAATACGTTGACCCGGGCCTTAATAATTTTGACCCGGACATATCACCGACGTCATAATGAATGAACCGACGTTGATAAGTTTGACCCGAACTTATCTCGTCATCTTCCGGTTTGCTGGTGAAACAAAGAAAAACACTTGTTCCTGTCATGCAAAATACACAAATACAATCCGATAAATCGATTATCAGATTTTCATCATATTGATATTGTAAAATATCAGCTGCTCCACACAATATGAAGCCTTTTTAAACTCGTTCTCTGCACTCACTCGACGAAAAGCTTCATAATGTGACTCGCCGCTGATATTTTATAATATCAATATGCAGACAACCTAATGATCGGTACTTATTTTATTTTCTACACCAGTGAAAACTTGGGCCGATTTAGAGTCTGTCGTACGCGCCTATTTTCAGAGAGATATACAGACTTGTTTGTGGTTAAGTTAAATACTTGCACAGTTTACGACTGTATGTTTCTGTTCACATTTTGCATAAAAACAAATTTAAAGCAGTTCTTGCTAAAATGTAATTGCCACTTGATTTCATTTTGTGTCAATTTGAATTCAAGTTTTTTGTAATGTGTTTTCAATGTTTAGCACCGACCATTCATCTTTTCGTGAAAACAAAATAAAGTTTGTTTCTATTGGAATAAGTAAAAATTATTGATTTTGCTTTTGTAAGTTATTGAAAAGAAAATAATTTGTTTCAGAAATAAATTTTGTCCCGAAGAAAAAAGTGCTTTTAATCAGCTTCTACTTTCTCCTGTTATTAATTAGACTTAAACCATTTTCTAAATTTCTAAATCTTCTAACCCTTTCACCTTATATATGGTTATTTATTATTCTAGAGGTATAGCTTCCGTTGATATAGAGCTAACGTATATCGACATCAATCAGTGTGATCCAGATACCAGTAGTTATAGTGCTCTGGACGTATTCCGAGGAACACATGCATGTCCTGTGACAACTGAGGTACATGTATTACTTGCAATTTGTTTTTAGCAATTTTAAAGTTTCCGTCGGCCACTGAAAATACAAGGTTACCTTTCATAATACTGTATGTATAACATATATAAAAAGTTTATTTAATCTTGTTAATATTACTATATATTATGCTAACAAAGTACAATACCAATATTATTATTTTATAGTGTATAATTATTTTAACTTTAGAAAGCATTTAGCTTAGTTGGTCTTCATATTAACAAGATAATTTTGTAAAAAAAAATAACGAGTAATGCCATTGACAGTAGTTACTGGCACAATGAAGATAATCTAAAACTTTTCTTTCAATTAAGACAGAATTTGACTCACTTCTAATACTAATAAGTTTTATTCAATCATATCTTAATCTGCGATATTTTTTTTTCCTTTAGTGTTTGTTTCTGAAAGGACGAGGTTTTAAAAGAGGTGCTTATCAGTGTGTCTGCAGCAAAGGGTACTACTTTCCAAATGTAAACGCTCAGGTTAAAGCTTTCAGTGGTTTAGAAGTGGAAAATTCTTCAGATACCTCTCGGTATAAATGTCTACCCTGTAAAGAGGGTTGTACGGAGTGTGTTGATGATTCACCATGCCTTTACCAGTTCATGTTTGTATTCAGGTTCCCGGTCTTATTGGTTACTCTCTTGACGTGTTTCTCCATAGGAATTCTGTCTGTCATCACTATTGTCTTCAAGAATGAATTGGTAATTATTCATGTTTTATGAATTAAAAATATTTTCATGAATAAAATAGGTGTGGGGTAAACGTTGAAGACACTGCAAGCTTTAAACATAAAAAACCAAGAAATACATTTAGACTTAGTACCAACCAGAATACCAATCACTTAACTTATATTTTTGCCCGGTTTGAGAAATTGTCGCCAATTTTAAGAATTAGAAGAATAGCAAAAACTAATTGTAAAAGGTAAGACAAAAGTACACAAAATAATAGGATATCGAAAAAATAGATCGAACAAAACATGTGAAAATTCAGTATTGGGCTGCTGTTTCATTGCGTATACTATAACATCCCCTTTTTACAGATATAACCAACAAGTAAATATTTAAGGAATGACTAATATTTTTTTTTGACTATGAAGAAAAAACGTAATGTTTTAGGTTATTTCGAATAGACAGAAAAAAAATAATACAGTCATTCCTTATAATTTAATTCAAAATTCCATTTTCAAGGAGTAAATCATGACAAAAACGTTGATGACGTTACGGTCACATGACGAAGTTATGTCTATGAACTGATAGACAAGAAACTTTCAGCCAATCAGAAGACGTGTTACATCCAACATTAAACTATTGAACATTGAAACCAAAAAATACTAGGAGTCATGACTTTCCCCACTGCTAAAGAGCAAATCTTAGATGCATTGATACCTACCTAAAACGCTAACATAGATTGTCTGTATGTGTTAGAAATGGCTGCAAAAGACAGTAATTATTTGTTCAAAGAAAATGTTGTTAAGACATTATTGTTTTCATCTTTAATACGCAAAGTAATGTTGTCACAGTTATGATAATTATGACTGAAGCAAAACCGCCGAGCCACAGTCATTATTGTCTGCGCGTTTCCTTCCTGCCTCAAAGTTAAAAAGAATAAAGTGTTTTAAAGTGATTTGCTCAGTCTTTAGTTTTCTATGTTGTGTTTTGTATACGTTTGTTTGTCTGTTTGTCTGTTCCTTTTTTAGCCATGGCGTTGTCAGTTTATTTTTGACTTGTGAGTTTGAATGTCCCTTTGTTATCTTTCGCCTCTCTGTTAAAGGATTACAACGTTTTGAGCCAAATAATGATGTACATAAGTTGCCTTCAAAGCTCTATTTCCTTCTCTATATCTGATTTAGAATTATCATCAAAGAAAAAAAAGAGTATAGATAAATGTGCCATTCTTATATGAATCGTATTTGGTTGACCAGGAAAAAAACTTTTATCTGATAGTTTTATTTGAAAAAAAAGTGGAAATTCTCAAAAGGTTATAATACATGTATGAGACTGCTAAAACATATTCATCAATCTTTGGAGATAAAAAGTAAATAAAAAACAGCATCTTATTTGATGTTTCCTTTTCAAATTAATATCATTTCTTTCCACCTTTTAATTATTGGAGATCAATAAGAATTTAGATGGATTGTAAATGTACGTGTTTAAGTTTCATTTTGAAAACTATTTTCACTGTATTAATTATAAGATAAGATGAAAGTATAATTTAGACAAACAGAAACATTATCGATTAAAAAAACGGAACAACTTTTATTAGGTCTTTCCACTTTTCTGTGGAAAGAGCTATTGTATTTGTTCTAATTATTAGGTCTTTCCACTTTTCCGTGGAAAGACCTATTCATTTTGTTCTGATTATTTTTTATTCTTCTTCCGCCAAACCCTTTTCTTGCGGTATAAAGTTGTTTCGCAAGATGCCACTTAAATATTTTGGATATTATATCGAACAGTAATGGCACTTTTAAAACTCATCTTGTTAAGCCGAAGATGTTTTTATTGTAAGAGTTATCTCCCAAAACACTGTTTTTCTTGTTAGTGTATCTCCTCCGTAACCAAAAAACATAACTACAAGATTATTTTTCTGATATGTTCGTTACATTTTTTAGAAATTTGGCTGATTTGGATCGAAGTAATCCGGTGAAATCTTATAGGAGTTATCTACCTTTACCAAATAAATTTGTCGTTATGTTTTTGTAACTCATAAACCGTAAGCCGTATAAACCTACAGTCTTTTTATTTGAGGTCTTTTGGTCCTAACTTAGAAAATGAGGTGAAGGTCACGTCAAGGTCATCTTCTCAATTTTGACTTCTGCTTGTTTTTGCTCTTAAAAAATGTCAACCGGAAGTGACCTTGAGTGAACCGGAAGTAGTCATTTTTGCACTTATTTCATGAAAAAGTACATAGAAACCATATATTTTTTAAATTGGCATACATAAACCTATCATTTGAGACCGGAAGTGACATTCTTTAACGGAAGTAGCAAGTTATCTCCCTTAGTACAGACATAACTATATATTTTTGGAATCAGTGTGAATAAAGCTATCATATGAGACCAGAAGTGACATTTTCTAAACCGGAAGTAGCCAATTTTCTCCCTTTTTACAGGCAAAAGTGTATATAAACCATGTATTTTTGGAATCAGTGTAAATACAGCTATCATATGAGACCGGAAATGACATTTTCTAATCCGGAAGTTGGCAATTGTCTCCCATATTTCAGGCAAAAATATATAGAAATCATATATTTATTGAATCAGTATAAAGAAACCTATGATTGGACGCCAAAAGTAACTTTGAGTAAACCGGAAGAAGCTTCTTATCAATTATTTAGAAAATTGATGTGGAAAGACCTTCAATTGTTCTCTGAACAATTAGTTTTTAATTTTTAATACGATTCTTCTTTTTGTTTTGTTCTTCTTATTCGTTATAATCGGATAAATTAGTCTCCGCTGTAGGATACCCAGTTGAATTTAAAAAATAGATACGAAACTCTCTAATTTAAGAGGCGAAAATGGTAGATATAGATTTTGCATTTTGATTACATTTTCGTAAGTTTTTATGGTCATTACTATTTTTTGCAGCAACGATTTCTTCTGTGTTATAAATCTTAACGACAAAGAAATTTCATTATTGAACGAATAATCATTGAACGAATAATTACAATGCATTTGCTTTTTTATCAATTAAATACTTATAAGTCCCATAACAACTGCTTTTGTTTATTCGATCATTTAGATTCAATTCGCCTGAAAAATACTCTATGGAAAGATAAAAGGTTGATCTAATTAAATCATTAATTTGTATTCATGCCCTTCAAATAGTATAGTTATATATATATATAACGCACAGTTGTAACTTTTTGAATACTTAGTTATATAGAATATTTTGGTACTTTTGGTATCAAATGAAAGCTGTATTACTGGTGATCATAGAAGAACAATTCTTGTCTGATAATATTGATTAAACATTGCATAATATTTAGAATAAAGGGTAGATTTTGCCTGTTTCTCAGATCTGAAGTACCAACGTTTGGTACTTCCCAAGGTCCTGGAACAAGTACTCTTTTATATGCAATTAAAGTTCAGCTGAGTTTTTCAGCGCAATACATGGTAAGGTAATACCCTTGTATGAAATTGCTGTCACTTTACTTGAACTTAAGACAAAATAACTATGAATGCTTTAAATTGAAGAACTTCACATAGAAAGCAAAGGGACTATGTTATATTGTAAAATATAGAAAAAAAATAAAGACAAAAAAAATACAGAACCCTCCCTCCCCCCAAAAAAAAAATCAAATATGTTTCAATTTTCTACAATCTTGAAGATACTATTATGAAAACCTTGCTAATCACAAAATTCTTGTAGCCTTGCATGATACACAAATGAAAATATGAAAAAAATAACGCAGAACGACGAATAGATGCTCAACAAAAACACCACTGACAGGCAATACAATAAACAAAAATAATAAATTAAAAATAAAATGAGAAAATCAAAAAATAAGAATAAAATTTCTTATTAAGAGGATTTGATTTTTAAAAAAATATTTTGTTACCAGGCAATAAAGACCGGAAGTCCGATTTTCTTGTTGCTTATGTGTGTAGGCGGAGCACTAGTATGCAGTACGGTAGGTATACTAATCTTATAATGATGGATTTGTGTTATTTCATTAGTGACTCATTTGGAATTTTTTCCCCCTCTTCCTTCCTTTTCTATAATTATAATCAATTGTATCACATAAACACCAAAAACATTGAAAATGTAGGGATTTTAAACAACATATATTTCGGGGTTTGGCTTTGGTTTATGTCTAAATAGTATCGTTTTCATAACAGTGTGGACGAGATCATTTTTTGGCGCGCTCAATTCTCCCATTGACTGGGTTAAATTAGGTGAACGTTCGTCTGTAACGCTCATTTATCACGTCGTATCTATTATAGACATTTTAACTGTGGGGTCACCAAAGGTTCCCAACGCCTGACTCAAATAATTCGAAAAACTAGTACAGGAATAACCATTGTGCTTTAATTAATATTGAATACTTTAACGTTCTTTACTTGCGTTTTTTTTTATGTTTTGATCAACAATTTCAGTTTATGTATCGAAATGTGTAACAAGTGTTTATCTAAATCCTCACTGGAGGGCCTCTGTCAGACTGCGTGAGCGTAAAATCATTTGTTATCGATAGCCGACGACAAACAAGTTAAAGGTAAATGATTCAGTAGTATTAACAACAAAAGTACTACAGTTGTCCACACTGTTACGGGAATACTTCTATTAATAAAAATATCTCAGAATGATACGATTTTGTAATTGTTCATGAAATGCAAGACATTTGAAGCCGTAAAGAAAATTCGAACGACGCGATTCCGAAATAGGAATACTGGTGTATGACAGACTAATGTCTTATAAATATTTAAGGGATGTTATTTGATAGATTTATAATACTGTTTTGCTTTTTGAATTCAAGCGACCAAATTGTGGATTTCCCATACATTATTTTTTCTGGTAGCTATCATTGATTATTCAATGTGATAGTTTACTGTGTAAGCTTGCAACCAATTAATTTTATCTTTACAACAACAAAAGATATGGCTCTCCAGTAATTTTTTGTCTCTTTGTGTGAAGAGGTTGGGGAAATTCCTCATGTTTGAACATTTTATTCGATGATTTGCAAATTATGGTATACATTACAGCCGTTCCCTTTTCCACTTATTCATTCTACAAGTGTTAGATGTAGCCACGAAGATATGAGACGACTACATCTGATTTACATAAAAGTATTAAATAATTATTCTATCTTTTCTCTTGTTCTAAAAAGAGCAATTGGTTTTGATAAAACAGGAAAAGTGTCATTATCTCAATTATTCCATGTGCAGTAACCTTTTCAGAAGACGTTTATAGTTGTTGATTTGGAATGAAATCTTAATTGCGTCTACTTTTCTGCCATCTACTTGATACCCCATCACTGCATTTGTATGGCAATATGGATAGCTTTACTATCATCTTTTTTTCTGGTTTAAGGATGTTCGCTGCTCTGTTTCAAAATAACAAGCTTTTTAAAAGAATGCTATAAATTGATAGTATATAATTAAAGAAACTAAAACAGCAGAAAAAAATGAAGGGTCCGTGTGCTTGTTTTCGAGATATAAGCCATTGAAAATTTAGCGGGAAATAATTATCTCTAGATTTTTCATACATTTAACATTGGCACCTTTTTTATTTCAAAAACTATGAAAAAATAACAAGGATTTTACAAGATTTTGAAAAATGGTTTTTCAAACTATACGAAATAAAATTATGAAAAGAAAAGTAAAGGTTAGTGGGCAAAATTTGTATTGGCATTACATGGATAAAACCAGAGGATTCCGAATATCTGGCAAAAATTCAAAAACAAGAGGAGCGAACATCCTTAATTTCCAAAACCTGAACTGATTCCTGAAAAAAGATAACGCTTTTATGTCAATAATGAAATATACGATGAAAAATATTGAACTCTTCTGAAATTTTAGGGATTATTTGCCTATCCAAAAGCCTCAAGATTTCTCTGTATATCACAGATCTGGGTGTATCATATAGGTTTTAACTTGATGTATGGTGCTCTAGTAATAAAGACATGGAGGTATGTTTGTGTACTCGTGAATTTACATTTATAAATTGTTCATAGCTTGCATTGAGAGAAAATATATTAGTGTAAACCAGTCAGTACAAAAAGAAATAATTGGAATAATCTTTTAAACTTCCCCCTTAAAGACCTCCCATTATTTAAAACAGTAACACTAAAACAACTACAAATGAAACGTCGTATTCCTGACAAATGACAAATGGAAGAAGTATTTTTGTACAAAACAGTCAAGTCATTGATATACAAGTTGAAAATAGCACAACATCCCAAATTACTCTCAAATTAAAAAAAAAAGTGTCGAAATAAAATTATGACAGAAAAAAAAAAAAAAAACTAACTAAAAAGAATATTTAAAACGAATAAATAGTTATAGGCACTTGCTATTTATTTGTTTATTTTTTTCAGAATAGCTATTATCTTCCGACCAGCAAGCAAGTTACAAAGGGTACATTTACCAGACAAAGAACTTTTAAAACGATTTTTACCGCCGATGTGTGTTGTAACTGTGTACGTCCTAGCCTGGACGATATCGGAGAAAGGCACGACAAAAACTTTGGAAACTTCAAATAAACTAACATATTATGTTTGTTTCAAAGGCTATTGGCTTTATGCTATTCAGTGTGGTATGTACTTAAAAAACACTCATATTTGATTCGCATAATATCAAAGTAATAAAGTGGATGCAACTTTCTTCAAATAATTATTTGTTGAAATTTAGCTAAAGCTAACCCTTTACTTTAGCTTATGTCATATTAATATTAGAAAGAGACACACAATGATTTATTGCACATCATATTATAGTATAAAATTTTGCTGTTTTTTTGGGGGGGAGGGATGAGCATAATGATAGGCTTGTTGCAATATATGATTTAACTTAGATACGAGATAAAAACATATTTTTTTAGACAAATGGGCATGAACATATTGTTTCAATACTGTCAAAGGTTAGAGAGAGGATTGAGCGCTAGTATACATGTTCAAACCTGTCGCATTTGTATGAGCATGTCTCAAAATAGGAGCCAGTAATCCAGAGGGATCGATAAATACCCTGCAACGTCCGGTCTGTGTTTTTGTTTGATTGTTCTGCTTTGTATCGATCTGATGAGTCAAGTCTTTTCAACTAATTTTATAGTTTGATCTTATGTTGTGCTGTTTCACCACTGTCCCAGGTTAGGGGAGGGTTGAGCGCTCACAAACGTGTTTAACCCCGCCACATTCTTTATATGCCTGTCCCAATTCAGGAGCCTGTAGTTCGGTGGTTGTTGTTGGTTCATGTCGGTCATATTTGTTTTTCGTAAATTGTTTTGTTATAAATTTGGCCGTTTGTTTTCTCACTTGAATTGTTTCATATTTTTTATGTCGGGGTCTTTTATAGCAGACTATATAGTAATGGGTTTTTCTCATTGTTGAAGGCCATACGGTTGCCTATAATTGCTTACATCCACCTCATTCGAACTTCAGTGGATAGTTGTTTCATTGGCAAATATACCTCATCTCCTTATTTTTATTTTTTCTATGGTTGATGTCTGCTATATATTTTTTGATAAATCAGACCGTTAGCTTTTTTTTTTGAGTTGTTCCGCATTTTGTCATGTAAAAAATTTAAGCTTTCATTGCACGATATGTATTTTCTTTGTTGTTGAAGGCCGTGCGGTGAATGGTTGTGCACATTCTTTTCCTTTGGTTGATAATTCGCCGTTTCAGAATCTAATGCATTCTGGGTAATTTCATTGTTCGTACCAAAAATGAAAACAACGTCACGTCATTGGTTGAATTTAAATTGTAAGCCAATCACATCGTTTTGGTGTACGCTTTTGAAAATATTACCTAGAATACATTAGGTTCTGAAACGGCGAATTGTATCAATAACAATCTCCTCATTTGAATATAAGTTGTTCTGTTTATTTATTTTTCAGCTGAGGTATGTCTTTTATTAGCTGGTTGTTACGTGTGTTACCTGGTGAGGAAAGCACCTGGTCACTTCAACGAAAGTAGATACATCACATGGGCAGTGTACAATGGAATAATACTTGGTAGTTTTCTGTTGATTCTAACGTAAGCAAAAATGTGATAACGACATTTAATTTTGAAAGCATGCTACGTATCGATCTGATGAGTTAAGCCCTTTTTGAACTGATTTTTATAGTTTGTTCTTATGTTGTATTGTTACAACACTATCCAAGTTTAGGGGAGGGTTGAGCGCTCACAAACATTTTAACCCAGCCACATTCTGTTTGTGCCTGTCCCAAGACAGGAGTCTGTAATTCAGTGGTTGTCGTTTTTTCTATATATCATATTTGTTTTTGTTCATTGTTTTGTACACAAATCAGGCCGTTAGTTTTCTCGTTTGAATTGTTTTTACATTTGTCATTTCGAGGCCTTTTATAGCTGACTGTGCGGTAGACTTGTGGAGAGTTGGCTCATTGATAATCATACCACATCTTCTTATTTTTATACGTACCCGTTTGTGGTACGCGATAAGCACCAATTTATCGGTCGGATGTGAGATCCCGATTGTGACCAGATGATCGATAAAAAATCATCAGAAATATTTGGTCTAGAAAATTTAGGATGCATATGTCAAGAGTATTTGTTTCTTTTTTATTTCGATTGTCATTTGTCGATCAAATATTTTTAAATTTACAACTTATTTAGAGGGCAAATTACTAGTTACTTAAATTATGAAACCACATTTTTTTTTCTTCACATTTTGCAGTTTTGCCAAAAGTAGCTTTCTCTGTCTACAATTAAAACCTTCAAAACTTTTGTGCAAATTCATCATATTTCCGCGCATTCCTAAGATTTATCTTTTCAGTTTTTCCATGTATATCTGGACTTAAAGATGCTTTAAACTCTTTTTTTTTATAACTTAAATAATCATTTACATTTAAACTTCATGAGAAAACGAAATATTTTCTCTTTTTAGCTCACCGGGGTTCGGGCCCCATGTGAGCTTATGCCATCACTTGGCGTCCGTCGTCGTCCGTGTCTGTCGTCGTCGTCTGTTGTCGTCTGTCATCGTAAACTATTTCAAAAATCTTCTCCTCTGAAACTACTGGGCCAAATACCTTCGAATTTTAATTAAATGTTCCTTAGGGTATCTAGTTTATAAATTGTATCCGAAGTTTCGATCCATCGACAAACATGGCTGTCATGGCTAAAAATAGAACATAGGGGTCAAATGCAGTTTTTGGCTTATATCTCAAAAACTAAATTTTAGAGCAAATCCGACATGGGGTAAAATTGTTCAATTGGTCAAGATTCAGACGAATCGAACAACACATTGTTGGGTTGCTGCCACCGAATTGGTAGTTTTAACAAAATTTTGCAGTTTTTTGTTATTATTTTGAATATTATTATAGATATATATAAACTGTAAGCAGCAATAATGTTGAGCAAAGTAAGATCTACAAAAAAGTTAATATGACCAAAATTGTCAATTGGCCCCTTAAGGAGTTATTGCCCTTTAAAGACAATTTTACACAATTTGTTCATCAAGTTTGCTAACATTTAAAAATCTTCTCCTCTGAAACTACTTGGCCAATTACCTTCAAACTTTAACTAAATGTTTCTTAGGGTATCTTGTTTATAAATTTTATCCGAAGTTTGTATCCATCGACAAACATGGCCGCCATGGCTAAAAATAGAACATAAGGGTCAAATGCAGTTTTTGGCTTATATCTCAAAAACTAAATCTTTAAGAGCAAATGTGACAGGGGTAAACTTATTTAATTGGTCAAGATCTATCGGCCCTGAAATTTTCAGACGAATCGAACAACCCATTGTTGGGTTGCTGCCCCCGAATTGGTAGTTTTAACAAAATTTTGCAGTTTTTTGTTATTATTTTGAATATTATTATAGATATATATAAACTGTAAGCAGCAATAATGTAGAGCAAAGTAAGATCTACAAAAAAGTTAATATGACCAAAATTGTCAATTGGCCCCTTAAGGAGTTATTGCCCTTTAAGACAATTTTACACAATTTGTTCATCAAGTTTGCTAACATTTAAAAATCTTCTCCTCTGAAATACAGGTGAGCGATTCAGGCTCTTGAGAGCCTCTTGTTTACATACACCACCTTTATTGAAAAAAACCTCCCTGTATATATACTGACAAAATAATCTACTGTCATATTCAGACATTTGATTGGCCATTCTTACGGACCAGATTTGCTGTACCTATTACAAGGGCTGAAGATTCAAGCATTCGTTACAACAACATTGACGTTAATTTTTATTCCAAAGGTAAATATGAAAGAAAATATAAAGTGTTTTTGTTCTGTGGCACTAATTTGGACTTGCACATTGTAGTCCTATGGTCAATACTTGTTTTTACTTATTTGAAATCCTTCTTTAATTCAACCATTGCAACCCAAATAGGGACGTGTTCCAAAGTAGTTGGTTCACTAACTCATAATTTTTTTAAATCTGAAATTAGTTCACAGCGATGATGTGGTGAGAATTTGATGAAAACATTTTGTTAACAATTGTTTCGGTTGAATTTAAACAGATGTTCACCCATTCCGTCAATATTGATGTTTTTGTGACGTCTTAAATGCTGGTGAATTTCGTAAAAATATGATTTTTTGCAGAATTCTGGAAGATTTAAGACAGTTTTCTGAAAAATTAACAGTGGAACAACCCTTCGCCCAAAAGTATTTTTGCTGAAATATTTTTTATATACCATATTCTTTACTTATCAACCAAAACTTTCAATTTGCAAGGGGTGGCGTCGCATGTAAAATCATGAAAAAAGGTAATAAAAAAAGTTGACAAATGGATGAAAATGAAATCTTTACCTATTTCAGAGAATATATTTATAGATATGAAGCAGATAAACATTTTTTCTTATTATACTTTCAAATATAATACATTAAGCAATACATATTCAATAGATTTACTTTGATAATTGAAGTTATAAAAAAACTTCTTTGCATGGCCGATTATGGAGTTCATGGCTCTACTGCTTTGGAGCAGAAACTGCTTATCTTTCGAAGCATCTGAGTTCACCCCTGTTTTTTGTTGGGAAAAAAAAAATAAGAAGATGTGGTATGATTGCCAATGAGTCAACTCTCCACAAGAGACCAAAATGACACAGAGGTTAACAACTATAGGTCACCGTACGACCTTCAACAATGAGCAAATCCCATACCGCATAGTCAGCTATAAAAGTCCCCGAAATGAAAATGCAATATTTCAAACTAAAAAACTAACGGCCTAATTTATGTACAATGCAACGAACGAAAAACAGATATGATATACATCATCAAACGACAACCTCTGAATTACAGGCTCTTGGCTTGGGACAGGTATTTACAAAATGTGGCGTGGTTAAACATGTTTGAAGGTGCCAACCGTCCCTCTATGTTAAGTTTGGCTGTTTGCTGTGTGGACCATGAAATCATTATTATTTTTGTTTCATACCTATTGCAAAGATAACACTAGTTATTGCTAGCCAATCAAATCAAGTGAAAGGTGACAGAAACCTGTTTGACCAGTTTTATTTCTATATTTACAGGAGCTAATAAAGAATTCGTGGTTCACACCAAATTGACAATAGTTAATAAAAAATTTGTGGTTCACACTATATTTACAAGAGTTAATAAATAATTCGTGGTTCACACTAAATGACAAGAGTTAATAAATAATTCGTGGTTCACATCATATTAACAAGAGCTTATTTCAGATATCAGCATTATACAGAAAGGAAGATATCAAGAAAACCAACGATACTTTCAAAATAACAAGCGAAAACAAATATCTAAGAACAACTGACTTTGAAGCTACTCCAACAAAGTCAGTTGGTACTCAAACATATGAAAATGTTACAGTGAATCCAAAGGTATTTATGCTAAGATTACAACCCAATGTTCACAGACTTACAATTGAATTGTTTCATATTTTTCATGTCTGGGCCTTTTATAGCCGACCATACGGTATGGGTTTTTCTCATTGTTGAAGGCCTTACGGTTGCCTATAATTGCTTACATCCACTTCATTTGAACTTTGGTGGATAGTTGTCTCATTGGCAATCATACAACATCTCCTTATTTTTATATTAAGAGGTTCTGGATTCATTTCTGAATTCTTTAATTTTTAGGTCAATTTTCTCTATTCTATATTTTAGAACCTCATTATTCTCTATTCTTTATTTTCTGTGTCTATTTTTCTCAATTCTTTATATTTTGTTTGCCCATTTTTCTCAAGAATTGGACCATTATTCTCAATTCTGTAAACCGCATCCAGACCTTCATGCAAGACACGATACTACAATCCTTGACAACAAGATGCATTCAAAATGAAGTGATTAATACATTGAATGAGTTAGTCAAGTGATTTGTGTTATAAAGCAGCTAGACTCATTTAGCAGCCACTCATCTGGCAGCCAGTTTTCAGATAAGTCTATAAACCCAAAAGTTATTTTAATACGTTTTTATCAAGTTTGAATCTTGTGCAACTTTTGGGTTTGTAGACAAACTGATTACTGGCTGCTAGCGTGAGTCTAGTTATAAAGAAGTACGACAGACATTTAGATCAATGGATAATCATCCCTTGCCAAGTATGGTATTGTTTATATTCTTTCGGTCTGAAAATTGCTGTTTACTAGGTTTTAATATGTACTTCTATTAACTACGGATACAAATGTGAAATTTGTTGTTTATGATGTCTCATAATCAAGTATAAAAAGGATATGTGGTATGATTGCCATTGAGACAACTGCCCATACAGATAGAGGAACAAAGATGTAAACGATTACGTCCACATTACGACCTTCAACAATAAACAAAGCCCATATTATACAGTAAAAACATGTATGACATAATGTGAAAAAATTCAAATGAAAAAAAAACCAACGGTCGGATTTATGTACAAAGTAATTAACGAAAAAACATCTATGATATACACCAACAATAGACAACCACTGAACTCCTGACATTGGACGGGCACATACGGAATGCATCGGGATTTAATATGTTTTTGAGCGCTCAATCCTCCCATAATCTAAGATGGTGGTGTTGTAACACAACATAGGAACAAACTAATAAAACAAATACCGACATAGACAAAAGTAAAACAACAAAAATACCGAACTCCAAGGAAAATTCAAAACGGAAAGTCCCTTATCAAATGGCAAAATCAAAAGCTCAAACATATCTAACGAATGGAAAACAACTGTCATATTTCTGACTTGGTACAGGCATTTCCTTATGTGGAAAAAAAAATGATTAAACTTGTTTTAATAGCTAGCTAAACCTCTCACTTGTATGACAGTCACATAAAATTCCATTATATTGACAACAATGTGTGAACAAAACAAACAGACATAAAAGGTAAAAATGTCAAAAATAGGGGTACAGCAGTCAACATTGTGTTATAATCCTAATCACTATAAAAACAAACATGTATGTCAACAAAGACAATATATATGAAAATCAAAATACGTTCACTAAAATCTATACATTTCTAGAATGAGTTTATTCGGTGTTTTAGTTTTAGTGTTTTTATTGCTTTCAGGATAAACACTTTTGGACGTCTCTTTCCAAGTTATCGTTAAGAGGCAATAACAGAGTAGAACCAATGGTTGACCATTTGGCTCTTCCGACAATATGACCAAAACGAAAGTCAAAGAATTTTAGTACAGTTCCGGAAAATAAAATATACAGATCCGTCCAGTACTGTAGAAAGAAAACAATTATTTTATAAATGTCTTATAATTTAGTTTCTTAGTTGTTTTTCCAATAAAACAGTTATAAGTAATTTGCATTGATATAAATATTTACGATGCTGTAGGTTCTTTATTTTATTAATTACAAAATGCTGTTTATGTTCGATAATTATTAATTAGATATGAAACTTGACAGGATGTGAATTTCAAATTAAACAATTCATATATAATTAAAAGGTGGCATGTTTGCCAACGAGAAATTTGTCCACCAAAGAATTTTAATTGCTATACATAACGAATGAATGCTCATTGTGATTTACTCCCTGCTTGGTATCCTGAAAAATGACATTAAGGTAGATCCGGGGTCTAAATTACAATCGATAGAAATTTTTAGTAATTTGCCAAAACGTTGTTTATAGCATGCTGTTTTAAAAAATATAGTAAAGTCTAGGTAAGGTAGATTTATTAACTTTAAAGGTTGTATAAAATTATCAGATTATGTATAGAGTATCCATGGAAAACCCAATCTTATATTATAGAAGGAAAACTAAAAACGATGAAATTTTAAGATGAAATATTATACAGAGAAGATAATTCTCAGGATGTGCTATCTAAAAATACACAGAAAAACTTCGGTCACGGAACTCGTTTCTTGCTACAAAACAAAATAGTAAATTATATTCTCATTCTCGAGTAATCTCCCCTTATATGGGAAAGTTGAAAAAAAAAAGACTGATACAAAAAAAAAATTCTGTATATTTTAAAGTCGTAATGATACGATAAACACAAAGCTTTCTTCATTAAGACGGAAAAAGTATTACAAATGAATTTCTTTCCTCTCTCATTATTTGGATATTTTCATTAAAGATCTAGACCGATTTTTATAATCAATAAACTTACCGGTGATCTAATCAAAGAAAACGCACCGACAAGACCGACCGCGCAAGACCCTCATGGGTAGTTAAGGTCGTTAAAAACCCCCCTTGTTGTCCGACAAGACCCCAACTCAGACGGGAATAGGAGTGCAGGTTATGTATATGCATGAAATTTGTAAAGTTTTTACTTGATAATCAGCATAGAATCGAATTACAAATCAACACCAACACATCTAAAATCCAGATGTATAACTGGTATCACTTGTTGCATATTAAAAGTTATTAACATGTGTATATGTACAAGCACACAGTAACCTAATTTGAATAGATAAGTCTTGAGGGAAAAAATATATGCAACCAATATGCTTATAGAATTGACATGTACAACATGTATCCTTACATTTATTGTTTTTTAATGTCCCTAGTACAAGTGTATATAATTTATTAACAAGACCCACATTTTAAAAGGTGCTTAAAATAATATGCTTGCGGAATCTTGTCCAAATCATAGTAAAGATACGGTTTAACCAATTGTTTTTTTTTGTTGTTGTTACTTTTCTCAATCTTTAAGGAAAATATATAACATAATTACCTGATACTTAAACTATCTATGTGCATTCAGAAATGTTTTCCTCTTCTCGTATTGAAACTATAATACTCCTCCTTACGCACTTTAACTTCAAACAGTAGAAAATTAAGGTTTTTTCCCTTTGACCTAAGTAAAGAGACTATATCTTATTCTCCGAAACATATTTTAAAGAATAATTAAAAAATCTACACTTATGATGAAAGAATATAAAATAACAAATCTCCTTACAAAAGGAGGAGTTTTAGGAAGAGTAAAAATGAAAAATAAGACGCAAAAAAAAAAAATGAATACAACGCTTTATGAATTTCATGAGTCCGAATGCTTTTCTAGATTAACCTTTATACGGAACGCTGAACGCCGATTATTTGAAAGCCAAGGCGGTATAAGAAACAAAACAGTCGCAATTGCAGAGAAGAAAACAACGTCATGGAGCTTGCATATCACAAGCCAGTTGTGTCAGCCAATGAACATAAACAATAGGCTGCTTGGTCTTTAACGTTCTTACAGCTGACTCAGTTATGAATGGCCTTCTATGTCATTTACGTCACTGGTCTATCGTCATGTGACATTTTGTTGTCATCTGCCATTTTAGTATCGTTGGAAAAAGTAAAAAAACAAGATGGTAGAAAAGGTAAGGATTTCTCAACGTATGTCAAAAACTTGATAGTAGAATGGTTCATGAAGTACTGCCTTCAACACGGAGCCTTGGCTATCACCGAACAGCAAGCTATAAAAGGCCCCAAAATGACTAGTGTAAAACAATTCAAACAGGAAAACCAACGGTCTAATCTATATAAAAATCGAGAAACGAGAAACACGTATGAACCACACCAACAAACGACAACCACTGAACTACAGGCTCCTGATTTAGGACAGGTTCATAAACAGCCTTTTTCAACTGATTTTTTTAGTTTGTTTTTATGTTGTACTGTTACACCACTGTCCCAGGTTAAGGGAGGGTTTGCGCCTTCAAACTACTTTCACCTCGCCACATTATGTATGTGCATGTCCCTAGTCTGGAGCCTGTAATTCAGTGGTTGTCGTTTGTTGCTGTGTAACGTATTTGTTTTTCGTTCATTGTTTTGAACATAAATGAGGCCGTTAGTCTTCTCGTTTGAATTGTTTTACATTTGTCATTACGTGGCCTTTTATAGCTGTCAGTGCGGTATGGGCTTTGCTCATTGTTGAAGGCCGTACGGTGACCTATAGTTGTGAATTTCTGTGTCATTTGGTCTCTTGTGGAGAGTTATTTCATTGGCAATCATACCACATTTTTTTTTATATACAATGATGTCAATAAGAACACAAATACTCCAGTATCGCTCATCTCGGCTGAGTATTTACTCGAGTAAATAAACAAGTTAATGTAAATTTTATGATAAATTATGAAGTGTTTTAAGGCATATGTGACTTTGACAGATGATACGTGATTTTAGGCAAATTATGAACTGAATCCTTGTTTTTGTAATTTTATTGAATTTTAAATAATTTGCCATAACATATTTCGAATAAGAAATCCCGTGTCTTAAAATTGCGCGTGAGGTAAACGCTTTAATAATACTTCAATTTCGAAATGAAAAACTAACGGTTGGTCGCACGTGGAATTTGTGTAATGCAATAAAGATAGAGTTGATAAAAGCATGACAAGAATTTCATTGTTTAAGAGTACACCAAGACAATGTTCTCCTCGGTTAAACAATGGTTTATTTTGTTTGACTGAAGATACAGACTTCAGATTCCTGGAGATTATTATTATTTTTAGAGGTAAATAACAATCGAACAGCTATGCAGAAAATATCATTAGAGTATAATAAGAGTTTTTTATTTTAAAATTGTTCTTTTATCGTAATTTTGTATCCACTGACTTGTTATTTATTTTACACTTTTATTTGACCAAGTTTTACATACGATTTTATGATGTTAAAAAAACTTTTAATTCAGTTGATAGAGTAATTGAAATATTTCTTTTATGATATACTGGCACTTGCAGATAAAACCCTTTCCAAAAGGTTATTTGAAAATAACCCTCATATATATTTCTAAAGAATACATTCTAATTATACTATAGGAATACATTGAGATGCGGGGTATTCGTTGATGCGACATCAACCTAACGACAGAAATATCAAAAGGACATCTAAACAGCAACATGGTTACTTTCTTCAAAAATAGACAATTGTCTATACAATATGTCAAGTTCTATAAATCGCTCCTAGCCTATAAATGTTTCGAGTGAATTTAGCAGAAAAATGACAGATATGCCGTTAACACCAAACTTTACAAAGGAAACAAACCCATTAAGAACTACTGAAGAGGTTCCTGGTTTGAGATAGACATGAGAATATGGCGGGGTAGCATTTTTTTTTATCGTAACCCGTACGATTTTTAATCTTGATCAGTATATTAACAAAACTATACATTAAGAGTATACAATAAAAACCAGTACAGGAAAAGCACTTAACTCTAAAAACGGTAAAATAGATACACAAAAGGGTTATAATATATTATACTGTATTAAATCATGTTCGCAGTTAATAAACGGACCACTGGGGTTTTAAAACTAACAACACAAAGTATGCAACCAAAGTGACGTGTGGTATAGTGTGGTATCACAATAATTCATTTTTATATAATAATCTTTATATTATATACAAAATACATTGTCGTTGAAGAAAAATAAAAAAAAAGACAATAAAGAGATAAATCAATAAAAATCTACCTATCCCCAGGTAATTAATTTGTACAAGATAATTTTCTGTTCTGTTTTAAATAGAAAAGAACACGACAGAATCTGCAATTAAATATCATATAACTGCGTCTCAGGTGATATAACATATTTTTTAGCTAAACTATTCTGTGGTTAAGAATGCTCGTTCGGCTTAAAATATTAATATTATTGCAGACTACAATAACCCTAGCAGGTAAGCTTATCAAACAGATTTACAGTAATGTTTAATTTGAACAAAGATACTATAACTAAATTTGAATAAAATAAAAAAAATGTTTACCGTATTAAAACATTCTTGCAGTTATAATCCTAAATGTAATCTGTAAGTTAAAATTTGCCGTTTCCAATAGTCATACTATACTAATTCATTCTTTTTGCACATTTACCATTCAAAGTGTGAAATTATTAACTAAACTAAAAAAAATCTAAATCTAACAATGTCAGAATTATAAATAGTCAGAAGCCTGTAATTCAATGGTTGTCGTTTGTTGCTGTATATCATATTTGTTGTTCGTTTGTTGTTTTGTACATAAATCAGGCCGTTGGTTTTCTAATTTGAATTGTTTAACTTTTTTTATGTAGGCGTCTTTCCTAGCTTACGATGCGGAAAGAATTTCACTCATTGTTAAATGCCGTACGATGACGTATAGTTGCTAATATCAACGTCATTAATTTTAATCTCTGATGGACAGTTACCTCATTTGCAGTCATACCACATCTCCTTATTTTATAATAAATACGTTTCATTTCTTAATTGAAGAGAAACGTTTGAGTAAGAGAATAGGTAGGAAGAATACTATTTGAAAAACATGGTTGACAAAA